TTTGTCGCTAAGACTGAAGCACTTCTCTCGTTTTACTTTATCTGTTTTTGTATGTTAATTAGTTGAGTTCAGCTGGACTGCATATTTCCATGTTTATTTCTTTACCAACTGTTTTAACAGCTGAAAGATATTTTATGACTTCATTCGTGGTCAATTTTATTACTACATTAATAATTTGTAGTTTAAACGCTCTTTTGCTCTGGACACTTCTATTTGAGATGAATGTTAAACACTTGTTTTTTTATCGTAACACTTGTTTTGAGTTATTAATTTTTTTGTTTGAATAATAAGTAAAGAAGTAATATCATCATCATCATTACCCCAGTGGTGCAAAGGTTCCCACCTACGGTGGGGTAAGGGGGGTCGGATGTACGCAGCCTTACCCCTGTACTAAAGCCCAGAGTGTCTGTTTCCGGATGACCCATGGTGAAAATCGCGTTGAAAATTGCATTGATTGACTGCTGCTTCATAACAAAGAAACGCAGACAGTTTTGTGAGCCATTTTGCTTTATTCCATCATATTCCCAAGCCAAAAAATAGTGAATCTTTGGTTCCATGGAAAATGATGGAAAAAAGTAAAGAAGTAATATATATATATATATGTGTGTGTGTGTGTGTATATATATATATATATATATAAATTTATACTCCGTATATATTTATATTTAAATCTTACATAATGGTGTGTGTGTGTGTGTGTGTGTGTGTGTATATATAAATTTATACTCCGTATATATTTATATTTAAATCTTACATAATGGTGTGACTTGTCGCCTAGTTATCCTCTAGGCGGGTGCTTCAACGCCTAGAAAATAAGGTGATTGGCTGGCGCCTCGCCTAGCTGCCGTGACAACCTGGTATTGAAGTAGAATCTCATTTGAACAGATAGATGAATTCCAATAGTTTCTCCATATAAGGATGAATTTAAGGCAATACTCAATCCAAAATATTTGATACTTATGTTACTTATAAAGAAAGAGATACCTTCTGGGTGGCTGGGTGGAGATGTGAAAGTATCAAGCTATGCTCTAACAAGAAAAGATATTTTTGTGAACCTGAACTCCAAATCTATCTTTCTTGATTTTAACAAGTTAAATATGAATAACTTTGTGACTTCATATGCTTTCTTGTTGTGTACCGTCTCCATGACACTCCCTCTCTTTAGGTCTTTCTTGAATGCCAAAGTGACTTGTAATGAAGTCAATAAAGCAACTGTCCCTAATGAAATTTGAATGTCTAGACCATAGTCACATGGATCGCGGTACGCCATGGTACGCGGTACGAAAACGGGAACGCGGATCGCGAATATTAGAAATCCGATACGCGAGGGGGTAGGCTTCTTCGGTATGCTATTTCGGTACGCGGAACGTTGTCCCATTTGTTATGGTACGATGTGCCATAAACATATGTGTAGTACAATTTACCAAGTATAAATACAATTAATTAAATATAATATATATAATACGGAGTATTAAACAATTCACTTCAATGAGTCAGTCTTTAATCAATTGCTTATGTGTACCATTTTTTTTGGAAATTGTGTACCATAATTAAATACAAAAGGTTTGAACCACGAAGTCTTTAAAGATTGTGTGGCCTGGAAAAAGCAACTTCGTTTCAATCCTTAAATTCGTTTAGCTTTTTGAAGTTCGAACTGTGAAATCTAAAGAAATAAAAAGTCGTTTCAGACTTTGATTGAGCGGTGAGCCATCGCTTCGATCTTTGAAGTGCGAACGACAAAGAGAGACTCCCGAGTTCGTCGCCGACCTTGTGTCGCTTGGAAAAAGCAGTTCACGGACGCGACTCTTGGACTGATGTTCGTCGGACGCTGGAGGGGACGTGCGAACCACAACTCGGAAACAGCGTACCACCTGGACGGCAACCGCGAACTGCAACCGGAATCCGCCGTACCGGAGTCGCGAACCAGAAGCGACCGGCACGCAACTGTACCGCGATCCGGTACGCGCGATCCGGAACGGAAAACGCGGCTATGTTAGCGATCCCTGTATCTATGGTCTAGACAAAGGACTCATAAGCAATGTGTCTGTCTGGAGGTTAGGAGCTTATGCATGTGTTAACCACAAAGTACATTGAACGAACTGAAGGAGATTTGAAAACCATAAAAAATCTTCTAGTTCTTCAAGAAGAAGTCAAAGGTATCGAACAACAGCACATTCAGTAACAACTTACCTTTGAGTTGATTGATGATTATTCAACTAAGATTATTATAGTTTTAGTATTAGATCACACTCTTCTAAGCATGAATTATTTCCATTTGTATAAGAAGCTTTTTAAAAAAGCTCAAAGGATATCCATAATGCATATCAAGTTTCTGCCAATGTTTTAAAAATTGCGATTCAAGGGGTAAAATTGGAGGATATTATGATTCTACGCTAGTAGATCAATTTAAATCGCACGAGAAGAGTAAACAATTGTATAGAATTGTTATGGTCATTAAAAATTGTAGGAATGATATTTCCAATGAAAATGTCCGGAAACCCAATAGAAATAAAAGCAATGCCTTTCATGAAGGTGACGGGTAATTGCGTTTCGAGTATGTTAAATGCCTATCATTTGCTTGATTAACAATATGATAATAGAGTGTAAATGTTGTTTAAAATATCATATGTATAGTTTTAAGTTATGAGTTGAAATGTTTTTATAAGATTGTAGTGTTTTTTTTTTTCAATTTCTAATTTATTGGTAATAATTAATATATTTTTCATAAAATCTTATGGTTCCATTTCTAAAACGCTGTACTATTTTTCAATTAAATAATATGATTATAACAACCTTGGTCACTCCTGGTTCACTTGGCTTTCTAGAAATTTTCATGGTACGTGAGAGTTTCAAGTTTAAGTTCCCATGGTTCAAGCCTTCATGTTAGTCTGGATCTTGGAATATGCATTGGAAGAGAACAAAAGTGTAAGGAAAGCTGTTATTTTTAATGTTTGATTATACCTTGTAAAATGCGAAGGAAAATGAAATATGAGTATATGCCTTTTTTACTTCTCTATAATTCTCAGTCTTCACATAATAGACATAATAAATAGAATATGTATGAACAAATATTAGGCTTTAGCTTATATTTTATTCCTCCCCCATCCCTCAAATTCCATTTCCTTCAAAATTTTCTCTGTTTTTATTCAATGATCTTCCTAACATTTTCCGGGATCCAAATGGACCTTTAGAGTTCAGAGAATTGGTGAGCTTATGTGTGCAGGGTGTCCGGAAACCCAATAATATCTGCTATGAGATTGAGTATATAATTCCAGTAGTAATAATATATTTAGGGAAAGTAGCTGTGGATAATCCTTTCGAAAAGAATTCACTCTATGCATGCTTTTTGTTGCAGTATCCATCCATTGAGGTGATAATGTTTGTTAAAGCTTCTAACATTTTACTTCAAAATAAATCATATCAGTGCACTTGGGACGTGGGTTTTTTCGGTAGCTGGTGCTTTGCTTGCAATACCTGTTGGCATAAAGAAGAAATCGTTGGCACCCCTTGTATTCTTCGGTACAACCGGAACCATGCTTGATATCATTATGGGAATAAGTGCCTGTGAGAGAGAACACGCTGAACGCCAGATGGAGCTTCTGGAAGCACAAAATCCTCCAGCAGCCGATTCCTCTGACGATACAAGAGAGTAATTGTTTTGTCTGATTGCTTCAGGTTGTGTTCCAGCCGAATTTCTCTGTTATTTAGCCCATTACGTCTTTCGGGTTTTTAAGCAAGTTAGTATTTGATTTAGACCCTCCGACTGTATACCACTTCTCAGTTAAGCCCACTACTTTATTTCGGACTGAATTTGGTTCTCAAATTTGCAATTTTCAGACTCAATGCAGGGGTTTTCATACATTGAGTATTAAGTTGGGTCCAAATTATATATGTTAGGACCAAATTGTGTCCTAAACGATGTCTAGATGTAGTGAATTGATGAAAATATCCTTCTTGTTTGGAGCTTAATATGTGTGAGTGAGAATCAAATTGAGTCTAAATTGCATAGCAGTGACCAAATTGATCAAGTAATAGTGTCGAGTAGAGGGACAAAACTGGGTATTGGATTACTTGTGGGTGTCTATTTTTCCCCTCCATTATACATTTATACCTTTTTAAGGTTAGTTAGCCAGAAAGAAGTGTAATGATCATAATTGACATGGCTTAGTTTTTAACTTTCTATATCTGTCACTTGGTTTTATTATATCAATCTACCGTGGGTAATAATTATATCTGTCACTTGATCAAGTAATAGTGTCGTGTAGGGCTGGACCGGGCTCGGTCCGGTTCGGGCCTGGGCCCAGCCGGGCTTGGATGGTTTTGGGTAAGGCCCGGGACTGGTCCGAGAGTCTACCGGTTCTGGGCCGGGCCGGTTCCGATTTTTATTTTTTTTATTTTTTGTGTTTTCTTAATTATTCCAACCCCCATCCCCCAAACCCCTCGGAAACACCCAGCCCACCTAAACCCAGCCCAAACCCAAAAAAAAAGTCCGAACCGGGCCCGGCCCGGGCGGTCCGGATTGCCTTTTTCATGTCCCGGAACCGCCCCCGGTTACCCCCTCAAGCCGGGCCTAAGCCCGGTACCAGAGCCGGTATCCCGGGCCGGGCCGGTCCCGCACAGTAGTGGGCCACTCCCGCACAGTAGCGGGCCGGTCCAGTCCCGCACAGTAGTGGGCCGGGCTGGTCGGCCTGAACTGGGTCCATGCCTAGTGTCGAGTAGAGGGACAAAACTGGGTATTGGATTATAACTGAGGCCATTCCCCAATCCATACCCTTTTGTGCTTATGTTGTTTCTATGGTGTTTTAATCTATATTTGTTACACAATTTTCCATAAAAAGAAAAGAAAGAAAATTTTATTTGAAGACCACAAGAAATTAGAAGGGCATTTTCTGTATGTGCACCAGATAATTGTCTTAAAACAGTGCTAAGATCGAAAGGCACACTTGAAAACTTTCAATTAATGGAATGTTTTTTTCTTTCTCGTGTATCTTCAGCAAAGTTTCATCAAGTCCCCAGTGTGATTAGACTTTAGAGAAGGCCATGCATAACATTGTATCCATTCATTGAATAATTCAAAGTTTCCAAAAAAGAAGTGTTCTATAAGCCTTTCAAGCAAGGTAGTTTTTTTGTTGCAGCAAAATTCATTAGATAAGGCTAATAATCATCACTGCATTCCATTTCATAAAAGTTGTATACTCACTGCCATATTCAGCAGCGAATCTACATTGTGGTCATTGCTTTCAGTCAACTCCAATGAACACCCCCTAATCATCGAAGTTTGATGACATGTAAGAGTCCTCAGACCCCTCCCCTTCACTGTAATCATCTGGATCCTCCACTAGCATCATTCTCATCCTCTTCTTCCCCAAATTCCTCAATTTCTTCATTCTCAGTCTCAAATTCCACATCCAATGTTAAATCATTATCTGGCATTATCGTATCTTCATCATCATCACATTCTCCCTCCATTGAACCGGTCAACCATTCATTATTATCATCTATGTACCCATAAGAAATTGGATCGATGTGATCACGTGCATCATATCGATGCCTCAACATGCGATTGTATTTCACAAACACCGAACTGTTCAAGCGTTTTTGGGCCAAGCAATTCCTTTTCTTGTAGTGCAGCTGCAATGCATTATGATGATGTATTAAACATGAATGAATCAAGACATGTGAAGTATAGAATCTACTTATTACTTGCATAACTAACAGCTTATTTGGAAGCATTACTGAGTTCTCTTTCCGTCCAAAAAATAGTTCACATTTCCGTTTTTGAGTAATGCCTATAAATAGCTATAAAGCATGTATGCTATTTTTATGAATAGCTGAAACATAAGTTTGAGTAATGTGCCTGCCAGGGGAGGACCTATAAAGCATGTATGTAAGTATGTTTCAGTCAGTATGTTATAAAGCATGTATGCTATTTTTATCAATAGTTGAAACATAAGTTTGAGTAATGCGCCTGCCAGGGGAGGACCTATAAAGCATGTATGTTATCAGTTAGTATGATTCAGTTAGTAACTTAATATTTTTTTACAGTTAGTATGTTTCAGTTAATAAGTAATTTTTTTTTATATATTGCATATATAATATCTGGCTTGTGTAATTTTTACACGACATGGAAGGTGGAACTTCAGCCACGGCTTCTGAAGCTGCTAAGTCAACAAAAAATGACCCGGCTTGGAAACACAATTACTGTGCTTACCCAAACAATCAAAATGCAGTAACTTTATTTTCTAGTTTTAGTGTTTAAGACTTTAAGTGAATCATGAGTCATGACTTAATTTTGGTTAATCACTTAATCGTGACTTTATTTTGGTCAATCGTGACTTTATTTTGGTGAAGCATGACTTTATTTGTAAGAAACATGACTTTTTAATGTATTTCCTTCAATATGGTGAACTGGTACATCATCTTTGATTGTTGGAGAGTAGTATGTGTTATTTTTTCTAAGCATTGCGCCTGACACGAGTCAGGCGAGCGCTTTTTTGCGCCTTGCGCCTCAGGCACTGGGATTACCTCGTCGCCTTGAGTGTGCCTAACGCCTTTGACTACCTTGGACGGCCCAAAAATGAAACCAGGAGCTATTATGCGGGACGGGAGTATAATTTAAATTACTATATCCATTATTGTTAAACGAATGTCATGTTTGGATTACTGATTTGAGTATTACAAACACAACCTGTTGACGTATGCATTATTTATTTAGAGATTATCCATTTATGCTAGCATTTTATAATATTTTTATAAACAGCATCTAATTCATAAACATGGTTTTAAAAAGAAAAAATGACAAGTATACTACTACAATGATAGTAATGGTGACAAAATGGCATTTTCACAATGACGGTAGTCATCAAATGATGTCCACTTTATGATCTAGTAATTATGTAGTCATATTTTTATCCATGAGTTTTCAGTAGTACAACAACAAACAACAACATCCAAGTCTTAATCCCAAAAGAATTTAGGGTCGGCTAACATGAATCAATCCACGATATCGATGTCAAAAAGAGAAAACTGACAAGAAGAAAAGAAGTAAGATAAAACGGATAAAATAAAGATAAATAAATATAAGATAATAATAGCATGAGAATATAAGAAAGATAAAAGATAAAAACTAAAAAAGCATAAAAAGCTAGAAGATAAAATTAACATAATAACATAAAAGGATAAAAAAGATAAACGATAAAAGAAAACAAGAGAGGAAAGATAGAAAAGACATCGATCGTCCACACGGATGTGCGCCCTCCACTTTGCTCTTTCCAAAGCATGCTCTCATCCAACCCAAGTAGACGCATATCAGTTCTGATTACTCTAATCCAAGTCTGTTTGCGTCTTCCCCTCCCTGCCTCTTCTCCCCACCCCTCATTAATATTATAGGAAAAAACTTGAAATGGTAATAATTACTCCGTAAAAGAAACAATCCATGTTCTTGATAATTATTAAGATTATGCTTTTGCTTTGAGAAACAGGGAAAACTTAACTGTTGAACATGGTGACATTTTCTTGTGTCTGTTTACAAAAAAGTGCAAACAAAAATGGAACATAGGAGCAAAATTCAAAACGACACCTAAACTATTATGTTTAATTACTTACATGCTCAAAGATGCTCCAATCAGGCTGAAAGCCAGACGCACTGCAAGTGAGGCTAAGCACTTTGATTGCAAACCTTTGCAAGTTTGGAGCTGAGGCACCAAACAAACTCCACCATGAAACTGTCAATATAATTACATCATATATATGTGATGCAATATCCTAAGAATGACTTATGTAGCATATTCCAAAAAAAAACTTTAAAAAACACATAAAACAATTTACCTGGAGACATTATGTTTCTCTGCCGAATAACAATTTGTTGCCCAAAAAGTTTCTCTGCATTTTGATATAAAGGCAATTGTTCTAGGATCTTGTTTTGTTCATCAGAAGGGACCAACTTTTCCAAAGTTTGATAAAAAACAATAAGAATCTCCTCATATTTAGGTTTTGTTTTATCTTGTGAATAAAAGAACTCGGGATTCAGATAATATCCAGCAGCATGCAAAGGACTATTAACATGACTCCTCCATCTATCATCAATGATTTTGATTACTTCCTTGTACCTTTCCACTTTTCCATCAAAAGCTGTCCCAATAGCTTCTTTAGCATGGTCCATGGCCTCATAAATATACCCCATTGCAGGCTTTTTATCACTACTGACCAAACGAAGCACACGAACTAAAGGATGAAATATCCTTAACATATAGACAACATTGTTCCAAAACCAATGGAACCAAACAGTCCTTGCTAATGATAGAGATCTCCAGAAATCACACAATTACAAGAAGAAAGTGTAGAAGAGTATCAAGAAAAACAATCAAACTTTATTATCGTTGAACAAGAATCTGTAACAAGAAACAAACTATGGCCGAAGCCCCCAATGAGCCGAAGCCCCCCAAAAGAAAGAGAAAGTTCTCGATCTCCCAAAGTCCCAAGACACAAGTCTAAAACAGCCTACCTGACTTCTCCCCAATTTAGTCTATTTATACTAACTATTACACTTGTTATTATTCTAGGTTTATTAGGCCCAATCCCTAACAGTCCATTAGGCCCAATCCCTAACAATACTCCTCCCCTAAACATCCACCTTGCCCTCAAGGTGGGTGATAGGACACAGCCCCAATCTTTATCTTTTCTTTCATCCTAGCACTTCTTCCTTTCCAATACTGGCATGATTTCTGGACCGTTAGCTTGGCTGATTCCATCTTTTTTCCAATGTATTTCACAGCCGAATTACACAACTGCCATGATATTTTATCCAGAATTGACTTGAAAATTTCAGTATACTCCTTTGTAATCTTGTTCCTTCTGCCTTCAATTATCTGTTCTTGCTTCTGCTTTGTGCTTTGTCCTTCACAGTACAACCAATACCCATCACCTTGAATAACATGATTCAGCCCTTGTTTCTTCCATTTTATGATCTGGTTTTGGAAATTAACTTCCATAACACCTAGATCAGTCAACCATTCCAATCCTAGCACCATGTCAGTCCCACCAAGCTCCAACATATAAAAATTCTGTTGAATTTCATTTCCCTGTACATTCAACTTCATTCCTTCACATCTACCGCAGTTAGGAATCAATTCTCCATTGCCTATTTGTACCATATATGCCTTGATACTTTGGAAAGGTATCTTCCATCTTTCTACCAGTTGCTGGGAAATAAAGTTGTGGGTAGCACCACTATCAATTAAAATATTCACCTTCTTTTCCTCAGTCAGCCATTTCAAATCTCCCAGAACCTTGAATGTTCTCATGGGTGGTGTTCCTTCTTTGTTCAGTACAGATAATTGCATAGTCTTAACTTCCATATGTATTCCTTCTTCTCCCTTACTTCTATTACAGTCAGTATCAGATTCCTCCTCCCCTTCGGATTGTTCTACTAGCATCATCTTAAAATTTTTCATTCTACAAACGTGACCCCGATTCCAGTTTTCACCACATTTAAAACAGAGTCCTTTCTTGCTTCTGTCCATTAGTTCTTCTTGGGATAACCTGGGACTTGTATTCTTAGACACACAACTGGGACCTTCCTTTCTGAAATTTCAGCCCTTATTATCTTCATTGCTCTTAGAATCCCCTGAATATTTGCCCACACTAACAGAAGTGTAAGGATGGCTTTTCCACCTGCTTTCATCCTCCCATTTCTGTCATGAAGACTGGACGATAGGTTTATTCTGCCCTTTCCTCTTTCCTTCCTCTTTATTCTTCACATATAAGGCTTCAGAATTCTTTTTCTCTATCAAGGAAGCTGTATCCATCACATCTGCCAAAGTTCTGGTGCGATACAACTTCAGTTCTGCCCTTATATGACGCTGTAAACCCTTAACAAAAACCCCTCTCAAAACTTCTTCAGTTAAGTGGCCCTGTGAAGCAATGGCAGTCTCAAATTTATCCCTATACTCCGTCACCGTTCCTTTTTGCTTCAAACTGAGTAAAGGTCCCAAAGGATCTTGCACCAATTCTGGTTGGAATCGTTTGGATAAGGCAGCAGTAAATGCCTCCCAGGTCTGATGTTGAGCTTGTCTTTCACACCATTGAAACCAGCTCAGACCTTGATCTTCTAGGGCAACAACTACGACATCTATTTTGTCTTCTTCGTCTGTATGGTTCAATCAGAAATACGGGTTCATTCTTACTAACCATCCACAGGCGTCCTCTCCATTGAAAATTGGCAAATCAATTTTCCTCCCAGCCGGATGTTGGTTTCTGTGATGCCTGTGTCGTTCGCGACCATGAAGCGAGGCAGAATGATCGGAATTGTTATCCGAACCTTCAGAGCTTTCATGATTCCTCGTATGTCTACGGTGAGTTGTACGATGCGAAGAAGTAGAATGGTGCGATCTACTTCTGGATCGATCGGAATTCCTGTTTTGGAGTTCAGCGATGCCAGCCTTCATTGCCGTCAACATCGCTAACATCTCATCATACTTCGTATCTGATTCCCTCTGATTTCTTTCAATCTCTGTGATTCGTCCCTCCATCTTTTTCCGCGTTCCAACCATTCACAGAATCGACAGTCTCTGATACCAATGATAGAGATCTCCAGAAATCACACAATTACAAGAAGAAAGTGTAGAAGAGTATCAAGAAAAACAATCAAACTTTATTATCGTTGAACAAGAATCTGTAACAAGAAACAAACTATGGCCGAAGCCCCCAATGAGCCGAAGCCCCCCAAAAGAAAGAGAAAGTTCTCGATCTCCCAAAGTCCCAAGACACAAGTCTAAAACAGCCTACCTGACTTCTCCCCAATTTAGTCTATTTATACTAACTATTACACTTGTTATTATTCTAGGTTTATTAGGCCCAATCCCTAACAGTCCATTAGGCCCAATCCCTAACAATACTCCCCCCCTAAACATCCACCTTGCCCTCAAGGTGGGTGATAGGACACAGCCCCAATCTTTATCTTTTCTTTCATCCTAGCACTTCTTCCTTTCCAATACTGGCATGATTTCTGGACCGTTAGCTTGGCTGATTCCATCTTTTTTCCAATGTATTTCACAGCCGAATTACACAACTGCCATGATATTTTATCCAGAATTGACTTGAAAATTTCAGTATACTCCTTTGTAATCTTGTTCCTTCTGCCTTCAATTATCTGTTCTTGCTTCTGCTTTGTGCTTTGTCCTTCACAGTACAACCAATACCCATCACCTTGAATAACATGATTCAGCCCTTGTTTCTTCCATTTTATGATCTGGTTTTGGAAATTAACTTCCATAACACCTAGATCAGTCAACCATTCCAATCCTAGCACCATGTCAGTCCCACCAAGCTCCAACATATAAAAATTCTGTTGAATTTCATTTCCCTGTACATTCAACTTCATTCCTTCACATCTACCGCAGTTAGGAATCAATTCTCCATTGCCTATTTGTACCATATATGCCTTGATACTTTGGAAAGGTATCTTCCATCTTTCTACCAGTTGCTGGGAAATAAAGTTGTGGGTAGCACCACTATCAATTAAAATATTCACCTTCTTTTCCTCAGTCAGCCATTTCAAATCTCCCAGAACCTTGAATGTTCTCATGGGTGGTGTTCCTTCTTTGTTCAGTACAGATAATTGCATAGTCTTAACTTCCATATGTATTCCTTCTTCTCCCTTACTTCTATTACAGTCAGTATCAGATTCCTCCTCCCCTTCGGATTGTTCTACTAGCATCATCTTAAAATTTTTCATTCTACAAACGTGACCCCGATTCCAGTTTTCACCACATTTAAAACAGAGTCCTTTCTTGCTTCTGTCCATTAGTTCTTCTTGGGATAACCTGGGACTTGTATTCTTAGACACACAACTGGGACCTTCCTTTCTGAAATTTCAGCCCTTATTATCTTCATTGCTCTTAGAATCCCCTGAATATTTGCCCACACTAACAGAAGTGTAAGGATGGCTTTTCCACCTGCTTTCATCCTCCCATTTCTGTCCTGAAGACTGGACGATAGGTTTATTCTGCCCTTTCCTCTTTCCTTCCTCTTTATTCTTCACATATAAGGCTTCAGAATTCTTTTTCTCTATCAAGGAAGCTGTATCCATCACATCTGCCAAAGTTCTGGTGCGATACAACTTCAGTTCTGCCCTTATATGACGCTGTAAACCCTTAACAAAAACCCCTCTCAAAACTTCTTCAGTTAAGTGGCCCTGTGAAGCAATGGCAGTCTCAAATTTATCCCTATACTCCGTCACCGTTCCTTTTTGCTTCAAACTGAGTAAAGGTCCCAAAGGATCTTGCACCAATTCTGGTTGGAATCGTTTGGATAAGGCAGCAGTAAATGCCTCCCAGGTCTGATGTTGAGCTTGTCTTTCACACCATTGAAACCAGCTCAGACCTTGATCTTCTAGGGCAACAACTGCGACATCTATTTTGTCTTCTTCGTCTGTATGGTTCAATCAGAAATACGGGTTCATTCTTACTAACCATCCACAGGCGTCCTCTCCATTGAAAATTGGCAAATCAATTTTCCTCCCAGCCGGATGTTGGTTTCTGTGATGCCTGTGTCGTTCGCGACCATGAAGCGAGGCAGAATGATCGGAATTGTTATCCGAACCTTCAGAGCTTTCATGATTCCTCGTATGTCTACGGTGAGTTGTACGATGCGAAGAAGTAGAATGGTGCGATCTACTTCTGGATCGATCGGAATTCCTGTTTTGGAGTTCAGCGATGCCAGCCTTCATTGCCGTCAACATCGCTAACATCTCATCATACTTCGTATCTGATTCCCTCTGATTTCTTTCAATCTCTGTGATTCGTCCCTCCATCTTTTTCCGCGTTCCAACCATTCACAGAATCGACAGTCTCTGATACCAATGATAGAGATCTCCAGAAATCACACAATTACAAGAAGAAAGTGTAGAAGAGTATCAAGAAAAACAATCAAACTTTATTATCGTTGAACAAGAATCTGTAACAAGAAACAAACTATGGCCGAAGCCCCCAATGAGCCGAAGCCCCCCAAAAGAAAGAGAAAGTTCTCGATCTCCCAAAGTCCCAAGACACAAGTCTAAAACAGCCTACCTGACTTCTCCCCAATTTAGTCTATTTATACTAACTATTACACTTGTTATTATTCTAGGTTTATTAGGCCCAATCCCTAACAGTCCATTAGGCCCAATCCCTAACAATACTCCCCCCCTAAACATCCACCTTGC